AGAACAGTCAATGTTTATCATCATAATTGTCTTTTGGAATTAGATGCATTTAAATTGATGTTTGACATACTGAGCTGATGGTATTCTCTGTGGCAATGCCATTATATACTTATTCTGTTTTCTCCAGAATGAACCGGCAGCAAGAATTTTGGAGCTTTCAATTCTTCACTTAGCTATGTCAGAAATAGCAGTTCTAGGGACAAGGCATCAGATCGTCATCAACGAGGTATATTCTTGCTCCTTCCGTTGTGGATTAGATATGTATTTCACAGGAAGTAGGTATCTAAACTAAACTGTAGAAGAGATAAGGTGATCTGCTGATTGCCGCTCAGAATGATGTATGATACACCTGAGAAAAAAGGGTGGTAAAAGCTATTAAATGGTTCTCACATCTGAACAATATCCAAAAGTATCTGATGGTTACAGATCTTTCACATTGCTTGTGTGCACTCCTCCTGTAGGATCATTCTTCCTTTAATCTTTTTCTCTGCATCAGTTGCATGAACTCCAGTAATATGTAGCTATTCTTGAAGGCTGTCGATCTAGCAAAACGGTTCTGTGATGGAGCAGCTCCCCGTATCATCAATGGTTGCCTCAGGACTTTCATCAAGGATCTCCAGGGGACTAGTGCAGTGAAACGCAGTAGTTGACGCATTAAAGACGGTCTGCTGCTAGAATGACCATCTTTTCGCCTTCTGCGAGCTGTAAGAACAGTAGTGATAACTGCAGAATCCCAAAGAGGAGAACTTCTCTGTGCCCAAACCATCTGCATTGGAAAGCCATATGGAGAGTATAACTGCCACACAAAATGATCACAACCGGTGGCGAGTTCCACGGACACACAATGTAGTTGAACGGGAGAGCAGACCGACGATTGATGTGTATGTTGTTTTCCGCAGTTGTACCAATATACCACTGCCGTAAGTTGGCATTTGTGCTGTCAAGTCAAGACTATACATTTACACACGCGCGTATATTGGTGGCTTGTCCAGCCATAAAACTTGCTGCCCATCAGAGTTAATCTTTCCTACATTGTTAGTATATGCATCAACGGGGTTAGATAAATGTCAGATCATCTGAATTTGAATTTGAACATCAGATTTTACATATGTGTCATATATCTAGACTCGTTTATGCATACACTGTCAATGTATAAAAAAAATTATCCAAAAAATATATCCTTATGGTTCATGAGAATTGTATTTTTTATTTTATTTGTAGAAATGAGGACTTCATTTGAATTAGAGTATTAAGACGTAAAATGTGGTATCGCATCATGTTGGGGGGCACATTAAACTAACACTTCAAATTTAATTTGACATTCAATTGTTTACTCAATAATATCAAATGAAACTCAAAAGCAAAACATTTTTTTAATTTAGAATAAGGAATAGGAACCCAAGTCTTCCATTGGACTCAAAGGTTGGGACTTGGGGGGGAAGAAAAGGAAAAATCCAAAGTACCGGTAGAATTTTGGAAAGTAGAGAGGAGTTACGTTCAAGATGCCTAAAATAAAGGGAGTAAAATGTAATTTAGCATTCGTTGACAGAGTATTTAGCGTGCGGAGAAGGCGTCCTTTAGGCAAATTAGGGTTTTGGGGAACGGGTTGCCGCTGCGTCTGCCTTTATAAGAGTAATAATAATAGACGACAGACACTCAAAAAAGAGGTTAGGGACTGAGGAGCCGCGGGTTTTGACTGCTTTCTGAGTTTGTTTGTTTGTTTGTTTGTAGATAGACTATTCTCTTCTGGATGATAGATCAGATGCTGAGCCTGAAAGTTTGAAACTATTTATATGTTTGCTGGAAAGTAGTTCTTTGGGATTCAAAGAGCTTCCTATGGCTTCTCTGCCTAATATTGCAATTCCTCGTTCCTCCGACTGCTCTGTGGTATCTCAAGTGAATTGAGGAATCTATCGTTAGGCAAAACTCAACGTTTTTGGCGCACGTAAGTGTGTTGTCTACCTTTAGCTCCGAATCATTCCTCTGATCTTTTAGGATTTTTTGGTGACAAGGTAGATACATTTTTTTTTGGAAAAAAAGTTTTTCTATCTACTAATTTTTGTATCTTTTGATCTGTAGTTTTGAAAAATAACACGTACAAAGCTATCTCTTCCTACTAAAATTGATTTGCAACCATGTGTTGCTTCGGCAAAGATTTGAGTCCGTGGTTGGGTGATGGTAGTGATTTGTGGGAATGATGAAAAAATCAGACGGATTCCCATTGATTACCTTCCGTAAGAATGATAAAAAACAACCACCTATTTCTGACCTCCAAATCACCACCATCGTCTTCTGCGCTTTTTTTTACTTTTTTTTTTTTAATCCCCACTCTATATTAGCGTTGAACAGATGACATGATGCATCTGAGTAGAATATTCTGGCAAATTTTCAGAAATTAAAAGACAAGGCCTGTGATGTGAGAAATAGATATTTGCTACTCTTGATGGGTAATTTATCTACCCACCTGATGATTTTCTATCCACCAAGATCTCTGAGGCCTACTGCTCTTTTAAAATTTGTTTCCCAAAACTTCTGCACCTCAATTAGCTCCTGTTACACTCCTCTTCTGGAAATGTCCTTTATGATGCTGCGGAAAATTTAGGGTGAATGGCTGCCCTTTTTGCAGCTGGTAAGCATCACCCACGTATTGCAAAGCATTCCCTTCAACAGAGTAATTGTGAAACTAGTTCATCTTTGCCAATCAGAAAGAGTGCAAAATATATTTGAGGCAAGAGAAAAACAGGTAACTTGGGTGAATAAAAGCCCTGTAAAACAAATATACCCAAGTTTGATGGCAAGAAAATGTGGGAGGAAATATAAGTTCAAGAAAGAAGAAAAGGAAAAAAGGGTAGAAAAGCATTAGAGAAGATAGAAAGGAGAAGGCAAATTTAGATAACACATTTATCACGGTTAAGAAAATTTAGATTTATGGATTGGGGTACTTTTCCCATAATACAGGAAAATTGGAGCTTGGCGCTGGAGTGTGAGTTTTCCTCTTTTGGATGCTACAGTAAAGTATGGTTTCTTGCAAATTGATAGTGCATGATTATTGTGTAGATATGAGACTTATTCTTTGCGTACAAAGCTTTAGTGCCAGTTCTTAATAAAATCTCAAATTTTGCTAAAAAAAAACAAAAAATCATGTACCAGCAATCCTGGTGGATACAAGCAGAGTTTAGCTAATTTCCCAGGTAATACATTTGTTTATTGGTGAAAAAAATTCACACAAATGCCGATAGGGGAATGTTTAAGCACGGCAGGTTGGCAATTTTTTTTTTTCTTAAAAAAATTGGCCGTCGAGCTAAGTCACCTCAGCAGCCTGCTGGTTTTTTTTTTTTTTTTTTTTTTATAAAAAAAATGGAAGACTTTCAGGCTAACTAAGCTCGATAGCAATGATACGAAAAAATGCTATTGTCCTTGTCGGACTGACTAAGCTCGTCAAGGGTGATTGTTTTTTTGAAAAAAAAAAAGAAATTGTGCTAAGGACATTTAATGCTGTGCTAAACAAAGTATTTTACCCAGCTTTTATATCATCAAAATTAGAACCATGAGGAAATTTTATAGCAATTCTTTCGCATTTTATTCCTCAAACGTTTAGCAGGTAGATTATGTAATTGGTTCAAAACATTCCTTTTTCTTCAATTGGTTCAAAACACTACCCTTGGAATTAACACTGAATTTGGACGGAATTGCCACTAATGTATACATTTGTAAGTTGAGTGGCCATTTTGAATCAACAAAATAATTGAGAGGCTTAAAGTATATGAATATAATAGTTTAATGGTTGTTGGAACTTTTTACCTTCAAGTTGAGAAGTTTAGTGGGCGTGTTTATTCTTGGATTTTGACAAGTGAGAGTAGCATGTGTGTGATTTATTTTGTAAATTGAGAGCAAAATTTGATCAAATGACTAGGGGTCTACTGATTAGTTAATTGAATAACTTAATTAGAACAAAAAATAGTTTGATGGTCAAGAAATAGCTCAATGGTAAATTTGGTGGTTTACACTATATAATTTTTGCTCTATATAATTTGTGGTTTACACTATAACTTTGGCAAACCAATAAAGAGTAAATTTAATTTCTATTAACAGGTCATAAAGATGCCTTCAAGGCCTTAACCACTACTAACTTACTTTCCTCACCATTGAAGTAGACGATTCCGAATGATTATTTGTGATGACAAACCCCAACATTAAGGTCTTATTTGGCAAAGGAGTTTTTGATCTAGTTTGTCTCCCACTAATTTTTTTACAATTTTAATTACAATAATCTCAAAAAACTATTCAAAAATTTTAAATTACACATTTCAAAATACCCAAAATACATTAAAAAAATTCCCTTTATTCCTTTTTCTTCCACCACAGCCGCCGACCACCTCTTTTTTTTTTTTTTTTTCCTTTTTCTTCATTTCTCTTCTCCCTCTCTCTCTCCTTCTCCCCTCCCCTCTCTCCTGCCACCCTCCCCCTCCCTCTCTACCGGATTTGGTCTCGCAACCAGATAGTGCCAACCGGGCGGGGAGGGAGAGTGGGGAGAGAGAGAGAGAGGAGAAGATGGAGAGAGAGAAAACAGCAAAAAAAATGATTCTATTGCTACTTGGTTCCGACAGGAAGGGAGAAGTGGCAGTGGAGGAAGAAGGGGAGGGGGAAGGGAGAAGAAGAAGAAGATAGGAAAGAAAAGAAAAAAGAAAGAAACAAAAAGAAAAAGAAAAGAAACAAAATTTTCCTACAACTTTTACAATAAAATTTTAAACGAATATCCAAAAAATTCTTTTGCCAAACAGGACCTAGGTACTGATGCTAGATTAATAGCCATAACTTTGTTCCACCTTTCTGCAGCCAAAGCTACAGCCAAGAAAATTTGAGGATCTCCACCTATCTATAATTAGAGCTGTCCAGGTTTCGGTGCGACGTCGAGATATTGATTTAGAACTTACGGTTATCACAGCTTTGCTTTTTCCTGTTAAGAGGAATGCCACTTAAAACACATTCCGAGAACTTTCTTCGTCTGAATTTTGATCGACTGCATGATTATTTAACATCTCAAACTTTGGATTGATCTCTATGCCTCGCTTTGGCTCTGAGTAAATAATTGACACCTTAAAACACTACCCTGAATATGCAAGACCTCTCCTTTTCAACCAAAGGGCCTCAACAATGATTAGTTACAACTCTCTTGCACAAACCGCAACCGCGCACACACACATTCATCAGCAGAGGCTGTTGCGAAAAGTAGGAGCAAAAGAAAATTAACCAATAATACTATATGCAACGCATCCCCATGTCACAGTATCTAAAATGAAAAAGCAGACACCGGCCAGAGAAACTGGACCTAGTACGACCTTTGTAACAGTTATTTTCTCATTTGCGTGAAGAGTTCAGACGGAGGTCTTCCAGCTCCAGAACTAGTAGCAAATGTAGAAAAGCCTCCACCGCCTTGGGTACTAAAAGCTCCAAACCCTCCACCTGAAAATTTTGCTTAAAAAAATCATAAAGGTCCTGGAGAACCACGCAAACCAGTGAAAACTATATGTAGTTAGGTAACTTACTTGCAAAACCAGAACCAGCTGGGGCAGCTGCAGCAAATCCACCTCCAGCTGTAGCAGCAGCGGCAAACCCACCCCACCCCCAGTCATTGCAGCAGCTGCAAATCCACCACCTGTGGCCAGACTAGCAAATCCACCGCCAGCTGAGGCAACGCTTGAAAAACCACCTCCAAAACCACCGGTGGACATGCCAGTTAAACCACTTGGAGGTGGAATACCACTTCTAGGTGGGCTAGCACCCAACTGTCTTGACTGTCCAAAGGCACCAAGCACCGATCCTAGAGCTTGCTGACCTGACCCAAATTGTCCTGGCTGGCCAAATCCACTTGCTGTAGCACCTTGACTGGTGTTTCCAGTATTAAATGCACTCGAGAAAGCACCAATATTTGCTGACTGAGATGGCTGGGAATATAATGGAGACTGGAAGTTAAAGGATGCAGGTCGGAACAACTCAGCACTTGGAGTTGGCAATGTAAATGGTGAACTTGGCGAAGTTGCAGCTTTATGCAGCATTTCCCCACCAAATGGATTTGGTCTCCGAGAGTTGAATTTGGAGTTGATCCGATACCAAACCCACCTAGATTTCCCAGTGCCAGTTCAGTTGTCAGACTACCCTCAGGGGCTTCCTCCTCCATCTCATCCTCATCACTAACAGCAGAACTCCCATTTTTCCCATCATTTGGCATCCCAGAAACTGTGGCAGCTGGTGAATTTGTTGTGGAGGGCCAAGGCTGTTGAAGTTTACCATATGGTGCCATTTCTGTGGTAGCATCTGACATGCTACTGATACTGGGCTGATTCTCAGATTTTAAACTGGGAGACAATTCAGTAACTGTGTTGATTGTGTGGTACGTTCAGTACCAAAATTGGATGTGTCATTAGCAAGCCCAAGCTGAGAAACTGAAACCGGTAATTCAAAAGCTTCTCCTATTGCTGAACTAGAATTGGATAGCCTAGTTCCCTTAGTGGAATCTCCATCTCTTTTTGAACCAAATACAGAAACAAGAGGCTGAGATCCAGTTTCTAGAGTACCAGCATTCCCATTTTTAAAAAGCAGGGTAGTAGATGAAAATCCGTCCAGTTTTGGAATTGAAAAAGGCAGGGAAGATGCGGATGTTAGAGAGGAAGAAACTATAAGGTTAGATGCTTTTGATGTGTTTCGGTCTGAATTCAGATGGTGAAAATTTACCAGATAACATGGCAGATGATGAGGTAGCTGCGCTTGCTTTAGACAATGAAGAAGATGAGGTTGTTGATGATAAGTTAACTTGAGGAGTCAAACTTGCAGGAGAAGCAATGTTGTTTCACCAGGACTACTTTTGCTTTTTGCAATTTCAGTGTCTACACTCTTTTGAGAGAAACTGGGGGATAAAGCAATGGGCTCTGCTGGGGATACTGAAGCTTTATAACTGCTATTGGAATCAGACAGTGAGCTTTTGGTGGTGGTTAAAGTATTTTTCACTTCTTTTCTTGGAACTTCATTGTTAGGAATCTCAACATCATTCTTACTTGATGTCATAGACACACCAGGAAGCCTCTCAGGGATGGATGGAGCATCAAAGCAGGGTAATTTAGACTGCTGAATGCATCTAGAATCACTCCTGACAGTGACTCGAAGTTCTAACCAATGGTAAGCCACTTTTAGATTTCCACAATGAAGTATGATTTTCCCTTGTACCATTTAGACTTGCAGAAGCTGTTGATGCAGACAGTTGCCACACTGCAGGCGAACCTTCTCTTGATACTTGCATTGCAGGTCTGCAAGAGCATCAGCTGACTGAGATGGAGCCATGGAATATTCAATAGATTGCTTTACGTGTTTTTCAGCAACAACTGCAAAAATTTGTCCAAGAAAAGCCATCACTAATTGAATTGAATAACTGAAACTGAAAAAATGCTGCTGAGAAAATTCTTTTCAATCATCTAAGGTTCATACTTGGGCTTTTGGATTGGAGGTGGATGTTGCAGAGCTATCAGAAAGTATTGAATGAGCAGCTGCGGATCCCTTTGGTGGACGTAGTTTGAGATGTTTCTCTTCGCTTTACTGGGCAATCTATTTGTACTACTTTTTCATGTTCTCCTTGCACGATTATCCTTTTCAGAGTTGTTTTTGGAGCCTCGGAGCTAGACCATTTCTGCATTAGCCCATGCAAATTGGTGGGACTCAGGCACACTGAATAAACAGATAAACCCAGAAAGAGCCTTTCATACACATTTCTTCACAATATGTTTTCTAGTCTCGGAGGAGCATTTGATAAAAGCATTAGCTCCTCTTAATGTTCCAGATTACTTCATATAGATGTGTCTGCCTCCACCTATGTTGGCTATCATCTAATTTACATACACATGGAACAGTGTATTGGAAAGTTTAGTTGCTGCCAGTGCAAAAGGGAAAAAACCGGAAGAAGAATGCAAACTCTGACTCTGCAATGCCAGTCAACCCGCTGGCTGTTGCTGCCTACTAAGCTATCATATCAACCTACCTTTTTCATGTTTTTTAGTAGCTCAATCCTTTAAACTACACTGTATTGCTTCTCTGCTGTTTATATTGAACATAGCACAATAGCACATTCAAAAATTCCTCCACATTCAGAACAGTTCACAAGAAATTGGAGCTGTAGTATACTCAAGTGCAATATTTCTACTAGAAAGAAACCAAAAATAGAATGATCCACTGGCATTGACGCCCTCCAGCTCTCAATCTCTCTCTATTGGATAGTGAAAATAGAGAGGGAAAATATAATGCATGAAATAGCTGCCATCTCCTCAAAGAAGCATGACAGCATACATACCTTGCATGAATGAAATTCACAATGAACACGAGGAAGGAGATTGATTATGGCCCATTGTCAGCAACAAGACATTTGGGTAAAGTAAATGCATGATTGAATTTAGGACAGGTTTTGGACCTTTTACTCTGCTATGTAAGATTGAAAACAAAAGCAGTGAAGAAATTCAGACGTACAAATAGTTTGACTAAAAATTAAAAAAAAAGGTGTCAAATTCAATAAAGATATGCACTCTCTTCGCAGATCTATAACCAAGGCATCAGAATAAAGCATCAGCTGGTATCCTCAGATACCCAAAATGCATTATTTACAAGGATCGTGAGTAAACAACAATTGTTACATATACCTAAATAAATATGTTCTCAATTACTACACTCCTATTGCCTGCCAGACAGACAAATATATGCAAATGCACACTGGCACAAGGACATTTGATAAAGAACACTACTATGTTATTGCAAAGTAAGTGGTTGGCAGCAATATAACAATACTGTGAGAGCTAAAAATTTTGCAAACGATGCAGCAGAAAACTCCATATAAATTTTAGCACATGAGTAAATACACAATACTACTAATAATAAAAGCCAATATACTGTGCATTTAAAAACCAGTTTGTGAACTTCAGCTTTTTAGAGGCCAGCTTTCAACTCCAAATACACTTCTGAATTCCTATTCCTTCAACCATTGCATATGCATGTTAAACTAACTTCAGGCCATATGGATAGAGCTCCTACTCAGGTAAATTACCCATACTACAACAATTATTTGTGAGATTGAGGTGGTAGAGAGCACAAATTTGTAAAAAATTCCTTTTCTTCCCTAAATGATATACAGAATGTTGAAACAGAAACTCAATTCTTCCACATGCACATCTTCATGTCACATTTTACCTTTCATACTGCACATCGTTCTTACTGTCCATGTCACCACACTTACTACCACCTTCTATCAAAAAAAAAAAAAAAAGCAAACGAAAAGGAGAGCCTCAAGACAAAAGTGGAAGAAACATATCAGCAGGGCCCTGCATTATTTCAGACACATCCAAAGGCACAAGGTTATTACCTGGTCCAATGAGTCTCGACGCCGCCTCAACTTTCTGATTCAGAAGCCTTCACAGGAGTATATTGATTTCTACAAGACAGTTCCTTAGCAGAGACAGAAGAACATGACGTTTTCAGAAGTTGCTTTGTTAGGGTGTCTGATGCCTTTTGGTTACTTGGAGAGTTGTAAGAGGCACCATCATATGTAAGCCCAAGTGTTTCAAACAGCTCCCTTCTTAGATTCTGTTTTTTAGCTGGGCACTGCACATTAAGTGCAGCCATCTGTTTCCGGAGGCATTCTGAGAGCTTCTCTGCAGCAGCTAACTGTGCACCCATTGTATTCTGTAAGCTATAAAAAGACTGTTGCCTGCAGCACCGAACAATTTGACATTATAGATCACTCTATCTTCAATAACAAATCCATGGTAATCACTACTACAACTAAACAGTTAAATTACCAGAGGTTGGCTTCCACATAACAAACTTTCATGTGGCACAGTTGGGAGTTTGCATGAACAGTATAAGCAGAAACAAAAAGGAACAAATTACTCTGGCTTAAAAAAAAAATTATAGCCATTCAGAATACCTTGATTTCCCATGACTCCTTTGAATAGCCCTTGGATTGTTTGAGCTACTTCACTTTTACCAAACCTATTAAACTCGATGGTATTGAAATGTCTTTCCAGTTCAACCAGCTGACTGGTTAAATCCTGAAAATACAAATAATCCAGGTAACTTGCAAGAGTAAAAGAGAGAATTCATGAACCCAATAGGTGCTAACCTGATCAACTTCTATTATATGCTTTCTCTTCAACTCCAATTCAGAACTCAGCTTCTGACAATTCCAAAGATCCCAATACCATTTATCAGTAGCTTGCTGGAAAATGCCCTGCAACATATTCTCTTTGCCGAAACTGAAATATTATCGCAAAAACTGTCTCAATAAGACTGCATCAAATGATGATGAGGAACTGATAACAGATATTGCTCAAACATCAGGAGTGCTTAGCTCTGTGAACATGGACATTCAAGGGCACTTAAAGTAGTTAAGGTTTGGTAGATACCAAGAAAATAGAAAATGTTTCTTTCTGCATTTTAGGGTCTGAAAGCTGACGTCTGAAAACTAAAACTGAAAATTAAGTGTCGAACTCTTGATTTGCTGAGCTCATAAAAGTCATGTGATTGATAATCAGCTGATTTTGAGCACTGAACTGAAATATTCTAATTTTATGTGTATCATATAGTTTAATAGCAATACTTATGTTTTATTTTCCTATGAAATTAGTTTTTTAAGTATCACCTTTTAACATTGATAAACTACTAAGATGGAAAGTGTGCTTGTGTATGTGTGAGAGATGCGTTTTGTGCAATACTCCATGTTTGAGCAAAGAAAGATGTAGTTCTTGTGTTTGTACAAGAGAGATTATGTTTTAAGTGTGTGTTAGTGAAAAATATGTATTTCTGTGCAAGAGAGGGAGAGGGAGAGAGAGAGAAATAGCGAGAGAGAGAGAGAGAGAGAGATGTGTATGTTTGAAACTGTGTGTGTATGTATGTAAAGTGTACATGAAAGTGTAAGTTTATAAAAATTCAACAAATTAAGTATAAAACTTTCACTCAAAATTTTGTACACAAACTAAGTGGCTCTCAATGTACTCAGAGATAGGAGAATTCTGTAACCAAACAAACTTAATAGTATAAGCACTTGATTCGTCAAGTACTTAATGGGGTTATCAAACACCCAAGTTTACGAGGTACCTGATGGACTGGGAAATTGATGAGATGCAAAAAATTAATGCAGTGCAGTTTCCTGACTTCGTAATTTATTCTACTAATCATAAAACATGTTCTTTTCTCAGTCAAAAGAGAGAACAAAAACATTGTGAGTGCAAATGTGAAGCTGGAGTTGGCACTCTTGTAGGGGTACAAGTGCTGTTCTGAGGGAGCAATCAGAAAGAGAAGTTTCTAGTGAAGACCACTAGTATATAATGAGGAAACAAAATCAAGGCCCATTCCTTAGAAGCAGAGCTGCAAGATGTTGAACCTAAATACCGTTATACATGAAAAGGAGCAGATGAATCTGAACAAGAGGAGGAAAGTATAGGTAAACTATCCCATCTCTAACATTGCAACTCAAAGCCCTTTATCTCCATCCTATCATTCTTTAATTGTCCGACTTCCAACATCCATTACTGAATCTACATGTCCATCCTGGTCGGGAACCTTGTACCCATTGTCTTAGAAAAAACTGTTATAGGTCATTGATTGGTGTATACAGCAACCCTCTTTGATCTTGTACCATAACTATTGATATAGGAAAGTTACCCAAATCAGTTAGAATGAGATTTCCTTCCTAGTCGTTGAAAAATACATCAGAAACAGTAGTTGTCCAATGCAAGTTGTGCCTGGAGTATCTTAGTTTCAATAAATTGGATGGTTCATTAAACAATCAAGTTGTATGCAAAATATTCAAAAAGGAATAGGGTTGCTGAGGAGTTTGCATCCCAAAGGAAGGTAACAATCAACTCAAAAGCAACATGGGTGGTACTTTGTCTTTCAACTCATTTAACAAAGACAAGAAAAATGTCCGGGTAACATGATATAAATGACAGATAATCCAAGATTGATCAGAAACTTACTATAAACCGATGGATGAGAGTTTGACTCATGGGTTAACAGCAATTTCCAAGTTCTCAATTATAGCAACAGTATAAAATCAAAATATACCTTGCACTGTTTTATCCAGGAGCAGCTGGATCTCCCTCAATCGCTCTTCCAGTACTCCCTAGAAAGAATATGAAAATGGAGATTTATTCCAGGGTACATGTGGTAAAAGGAACCAGCAAACCAAAGCTTTCAACGTTTTAATGGTCAATAATGTAAAGAATGCACTAAAGACCAGAGTAAGCACTGCTGCTAAAAGATAACAAAGCAAGAATGAGATAGTTCCCTCTCCCCACTTTCCCTCATTCGAAAAGTTATTTAATAAAAATTACCTTTAGATAAGAACATGAAGTGTTTGCATGATATGCTATTTCATGAATCAAAATAACATCACCCTAGATGCACATTTTTAAAGGAATAAATAAGATCTAGGAAGCCCATATATTAAAAACAATCTTTAAAATTAGGACCCAAATAATGGTCGTAGCATTCTCCTGGGCAGAGAACACCACTAGACCTTAAAAATTCACAAAAACTCAAAAGAAAAGATATAAAAATGTCAAGTTCTCATAAAATGCCAAGATGGACTGGGAAATTGATGAGATGCAAAAAATTAATGCAGTGCAGTTTCCTGACTTCGTAATTTATTCTACTAATCATAAAACATGTTCTTTTCTCAGTCAAAAGAGAGAACAAAAACATTGTGAGTGCAAATGTGAAGCTGGAGTTGGCACTCTTGTAGGGGTATAAGTGCTGTTCTGAGGGAGCAATCAGAAAGAGAAGTTTCTAGTGAAGACCGCTAGTATATAATGAGGAAACAAAATCAAGGCCCATTCCTTAGAAGCAGAGCTGCAAGATGTTGAACCTAAATACCGTTATACATAAAAAGGAGCACATGAATCTGAACAAGAGGAGGAAAGTATAGGTAAACTATCCCATCTCTAACATTGCAACTCAAAGCCCTTTATCTCCATCCTATCATTCTTTAATTGTCCGACTTCCAACATCCATTACTGAATCTACATGTCCATCCTGGTCGGGAACCTTGTACCCATTGTCTTAGAAAAAACTGTTATAGGTCATTGATTGGTGTATACAGCAACCCTCTTTGATCTTGTACCATAACTATTGATATAGGAAAGTTACCCAAATCAGTTAGAATGAGATTTCCTTCCTAGTCCGTTGAAAAATACATCAGAAACAGTAGTTGTCCAATGCAAGTTGTGCCTGGAGTATCTTAGTTTCAATAAATTGGATGGTTCATTAAACAATCAAGTTGTATGCAAAATATTCAAAAAGGAATAGGGTTGCTGAGGAGTTTGCATCCCAAAGGAAGGTAACAATCAACTCAAAAGCAACATGGGTGGTACTTTGTCTTTCAACTCATTTGACAAAGACAAGAAAAATGTCCGGGTAACATGATATAAATGACACAGATAATCCAAGATTGATCAGAAACTTACTATAAACCGATGGATGAGAGTTTGACTCATGGGTTAACAGCAATTTCCAAGTTCTCAATTATAGCAACAGTATAAAATCAAAATATACCTTGCACTGTTTTATCCAGGAGCAGCTGGATCTCCCTCAATCGCTCTTCCAGTACTCCCTAGAAAGAATATGAAAATGGAGATTTATTCCAGGGTACATGTGGTAAAAGGAACCAGCAAACCAAAGCTTTCAACGTTTTAATGGTCAATAATGTAAAGAATGCACTAAAGACCAGAGTAAGCACTGCTGCTAAAAGATAACAAAGCAAGAATGAGATAGTTCCCTCTCCCCACTTTCCCTCATTCGAAAAGTTATTTAATAAAAATTACCTTTAGATAAGAACATGAAGTGTTTGCATGATATGCTATTTCATGAATCAAAATAACATCACCCTAGATGCACATTTTTAAAGGAATAAATAAGATCTAGGAAGCCCATATATTAAAAACAATCTTTAAAATTAGGACCCAAATATTGGTCGTAGCATTCTCCTGGGCAGAGAACACCACTAGACCTTAAAAATTCACAAAAACTCAAAAGAAAAGATATAAAAATGTCAAGTTCTCATAAAATGCCAAGTCAGCTCACTGAAACAAACCAAATGAAGGGCTTCGATAAGGCAAGTACATGAAAGCATAGCATCTTCTTTCAATATTGAACCATACCTCCTCCAGTTCACCTCCAAGGTATACTACTATCCTTAAATCTACATGTCAATGTACCACATCCATCTGACACCAATACTTCAATTAAAAAAATTTTTAAATCAAGGCAAGACTTTGGTAGGCCTAAATACAGCCAAGGAGCTGTAAGATAAAGACGCTTCATACAGCAAAAACGATAAGCTCGCCAAACAAGATGTGTGGATCCAGACAAGTGCATAGGTATACAAAATAGAGAGAGAGAGAGAGAGAGATGTGACCGATTACAAAGGCTTACCCTCCACATTCTGCATCTTTCTGAAATTGTCCATAAGCCTTCCTCCAATGCTACTACTGAGTCTTCCTGTGAAGTAGTTGAAGCATCTCTGAAACCGCCTGCTCCTCCAATAGCTTCTAGAAGGCTATCCATTTTTCTGGCCATTACTTCAACCTGTAGGACATTATACACTTAGATCTCCATTTACATGATAACTACAAAGCTGCAAGAGAAATTTTTCTATTTTTTCTTCAAGGACACAGAACAAAAAAAAATGTCCAATTAGGATTTAGTATTAGACTAAAGCACTTTCCTAATACATGAGAATAATTTGACAGCACTTGGAGTCTAAACCGTATGGTCAATGTGAATAATTTTAAACCATCAGAAAACAAGCGTAAAAGCACTTATGCGAGCCATCCCTCTGCCCGTTATCTAGGGTGTTCATGCATTTCGTGAAGCATAATTTTGAAAGTTTTCAAACCATTCCAAGAAAAGTATGTGACTATAAATATGAATCATCTTACAACAGAAAAGGTGTGCAAGAACCTTTGCAAAAAGGAAAAAGGAAAACTATGCAGTATTTAATAAAAAGATTTACATTGCAGATCTGTTTTGATAACTTTTGCTCATTATTGGGCCATTGGGAGGAAGCAGACAAATGTTCTTCATAGATTCGAGGCACCGAAGACAATCCTGAAGCAAAGCTTTCCTGCAAAATAACTTGTGAGTTGCCAAAGGCAGATACCGAGCCTATATCTCCCATCTTGGCCATAGGTCTCTGTCCTGAAGAATCTATTGTAACTGCAGGGGCAGCAGTCTCCTTTGACTTTGGAGGAGATTGAAATAGACATCCAGTAGAATGTAACGTGTTTCTATCTGGAATTCCGGGTGATTTCTTATCGATAATGCCAATAGATGATAATAATGACTTTTCATCAGAAGTTTCCAACAGAGTCGATTTAGCAATTGAGAAGGAAGGTGATGCAGTCCTTAGATCAGTTAGTACATAATTTTCTCGGAATTCCAGACTGCCAGATGCTTGTAGATTTTTGCTAATAGACTGGCTGGACAAATCAGTTGAAACCGAAAAGGAATTTACATGAGGTTTGGCTACAGAAAATGCTTCTGTCTTGCAGAAATCTCTATCCCTAATTCCAGGAGCCTCAAGGTGGCAAGTCTTGGAAGGCAAATCTTCTGATTTAGGACCTGGCTTTTCTGCTGATAAAAGCTCCTGGTTACCTCCATCTTGGTTTGGCATTGGAATAGTAAATGTCTCCTCATTGTCACCATTTAGTTTCTCAAAACTTATAGGAGGTTTCTGCTCCAGGTTGTCAAAACTACTTTGTTTATCAGGCTTTTTGCTCTCCCAGGATGCAGATAGTTTGCTGTTTCCTGTAACAACATCATCAACTGTATGAGGTTCAACCATCCCAGAATCATCAGGTTCCAAGCGAAGAGATACATGCTGCACATTTTGCTCCCTGACTTCCGAAGAAATCTCAGACAAGCCATGTTCTGGAAGCATGACGGCATAACCATCCTCTTTTCCATCAGAGTCAGCAATAACCTCAGGAGAACCCAAAGCACCTGTAGCACTACATGACAAATTGTTCAAATTCTTGAATGCCCCTTGGGAATATGGTAGGTATCAGCAGTAAATAAGTGGATGCCTCTTGGGAGATCACACAATATAAAATCAAGATACCTGAAAAAGTGGAATAGGGAAAGCTTCCCATCAATGGTGAGGCAAAGAAGAATGCAACAAGGAGAGAGTTCAGTCTCTGCTTCTCCAACAATGCATCTAATTTCATGATTCTGGGAAACCTTGTCAACATACGATGCCAAGATCAAATTATCATCACCATTCCCTGAAGCAAAATGATCAATGCTGTCAGACGAACCACTGTCAGGATGTTACAAACAAAAACACAAATATTTAAGTAAATAAATTTTCTGTCTTCCCTAACAATAATGGTTACTGACAAGTTTAATACAAAACTCCAAAAGTGTATATTTGTATTCACAGGAAACCATTTAGAACTCCACTTGCAAGGAGAAGTGGAGCTGGTCCTCTTTATTTTTCTTTGGATCATTTTATACTTCATTCTTCATTCTGTTGAGAAAGATAAGCCTTCGAACAAGAAAGACAGTCCCATAGTTACTCTTAGTACAGCTTGGTCTATAAATCTAGAATAGCTAGTTACCACTTGGAAACAGGGCTTCAATGGTTGCTATACTGCTCAAAATAAAATGAAACCCTTTCAAAACTTATACTCTCCCGCACAACCGTTTTACACCTTTGTCCATGAGATTTGACACTTGTCCACTTCTAAGCAAAACCAGTACAACACATGGGAAACTGAAGGAATTCAAACACTTAATGATCTCAAACAATCACAGGATCACAGTATGTGCTTGTTGAGGTCCCTGTTACAGAGAAGCCATCTTACAACCAATCTTGACCCTGGCTTTTCAAGCCTTAGAACCATCAGCCTCAGCCATCAAATAATCCTCACCAGCTGAAATACCAATTCCATCTTAAACTGTACTAACGTGATCTCATTCCCTTGTCTTAACTCTAAACGCCAGGACCATTTAACAAAAAAGAAATAATAGCCAAAGACTCATGGAACAACAGCAGTAAGAATTTAATACTAACAATAGTGATATGTTGGTAAGTACATGCATCAAAACATACATACAGTAGTGATCAGAATTTTTGAAAAATGCCATCATATCTTTCTATATATAAAGCAAGAGGAGGGGTTTGTGTTAAAATTCTGTGTCACTTTTTAGATTTTCCAATTTCACCCCTATAAAAAGTAAAAATTTACTAAGGATAACTACTTAAGTTAGTAACTTCTAATAAGTTCCACACCCAATAACTTCTATTCGTTTTTATTTATTTGTCAAAAAAAGTCATAACTTTTCTTTTTTTTTTGTGAAAAAAATAATAATTTCTATTGATTTTAATTAAAACAACATTCTTTCTTAATTTGCACCCCCTTTCTTCCGACTAGTGTATATAATGCAAAAGGAAAGCATCGGAAGACTCTTTCACTTTTTGTTGGTACTATAAATGAAATTAGAGCACCAACAACAGCGAATCAAAATAAAAAAGACACAGAAGATTGATTTTTCCTTTCCACAATACAATTGAAGATGCAGAATCAATTATTTGTATCTCTATATCAACCTCCTATGTAACATCTATATTATGCCAAGCAATTAGGCAAAGGGCTAATGGTAAGCAACTCAATAGGTATGGAACCTCTAATCCCAGACCCAAAAAAATTAAATTTACTTAGATCCAGATTTATTAGTTAATACAGTAAAATAAGAAAAATATTTCTAAACACAAGCAAACCTTATTAAGTATAATTACACTAAACTGGTTTTGCAGTGTTCTAGATTATATAGACCAGGCCTTAACCAGATCCATACTGCTCTTGCATGGTCTGGTCTCAGCAGGGTCTGGGTCCCCAACAATGAAGCCAAACCCACATATATGAGGACTCTGGGTAAAACCAGCCCATTCACATTTCCTAGATAAAGAGATATACACTGTAGCCTGAAACTATTAGATCCTTATAAATTTTAGCGCTTCTAAATACAACAAATTGTCACAGCATGAATGTTAAAATTTACTCTTACTCTCCCCTAGGTCTCCAAGAATGAAGTTCTGGCTAACTCAAATATCTACTTAGATGGCAAACAGAAATAAATGGGTTTGTTGTACATATACACGTCTGCAGAAAGATAAGAAACGCATAACCCATATATCAGCACAGGATACATGCATAGAAAAACTGAAAAAACAAATTCATACATGCAAATAGGAAGCAGGCAAAAAGTAAAGCGGAAAATCATGGCACAATTGTAATGTAAATGAGAAATTTGTGCACCTTGAGATTCAATGTATGCACGCCAAGCATCATTTAATAGCTCAACTATTGCAGGTTCATTTTTATTGCCATCTTGTGACCAATCAAGTATCACAATGTGTTGAGAGAGATTCTTCCTGTTAGCAATGAACGCAAGCTTCCTGGAAACAAAAACAAATAAAACTTGATCAGTAAGACCATCCAATGCCACCATCTAGATGCATCAAGCAATTCAGAAAGTAAAAGTCAATAATACAGTTGCCACAAGTTTGATTTAAAATATAAAATTAAATGAGTAACATGGGAAAGTCAATAATATAAAATAAAATAGTAAAAGTCAATACTAATTACTGAACTTTCTTTGGAAAGAATAGAATGCATGGGATGTCCAATGCCATGGAAGATTAAAATGACTGCATTAGTTAAAGAATATCATATCAATTACTACATAGAGGAAAAGAGAGGGGTTTTTCTCAACAGTTACAAAATTAGTGTGTATTAGTTCAGGCGTAAGGCTATATAACACATTTATCAGCAGCAAAACTTACAAACTCTGATAATAGATTGATTGGATGCAAACAGGCTTATCATCTATAAGTGGACAGCTACAAGCAAATATCATGAGCATTTTGGCAAAGGACAAGGATGCTAATGCGCTAAAAGTAAATTCTCTATCAGGAATAGAATTCATGTCAATTCCAAAAGAATAGACTGGATGCATTTGGTTCCCGATGTAGAAGAAATGAGAGGGACTTTCTCTTCAATGGATAAAAAATGAGAGTTTACTAATGGAAGCCAAAACTTGAACCTATATTGCGAGGCTTAACATGTTGTGCAAAGAGATCCTCTCCATATTCCTTCTGATAGACAGAAATTTATGAAGCCCTTAACTCCACTCCTGGTAACAATGCTCTGGGTCCAGATATATACAAAGTGCCAGTCTTATAGAAACCATGGGGTATAAGAATAAGATGAGGTGTTGACTGATGAGGTGATGATAGCGATGCATTAGTTTCAATACAACAACACAATTATAAAGAAAATGATCTTTGGTCATCCCAGTTATCAGATCCAGGCACTTGTTCCCAAATTAAATTACTAAATAACATTGGTTTGAGAATTTAGAAGGCATTTGTACTAGGCAGACAAAATTTTCAATGCTGCTCTTCCAGGAAAATAAACAGATGTTCGAAAGAGTGGTCTAATTGCTTCTGCGGCCATACAGCACTAAAAGAGCTTGGGCATTGCTTAAAATGCAGAAGTAGCATCCTAATCAAGCACCTGGCACCTAACTTCTTTTTTTGGCTTTGCAATCTTCAATGCCCCAGAAGCAATTGTGGGAAAGAGTGAACACATTCAAATATATGCTTTTGGTAAGGAGACAAGAAAAAATGACTAAAAAATTGTTTAATTGTCTGGATTTTTATGCATGTCGGTTAAGAGGAAGTCACATAACAGGAAATAATGGAAATCTAACAAGAAATGAAGCAAAAATAGTTGTATACCAAAGAGGTGCAGAGAAACAGTAAATAGCAAGTGTGGCTGCTAAGGACGATCAATCACTAATAGGTTATAGATACCTTTGCGTTGGTACGCTGAGAAGCCACCAAAATATTGGAATGATTTTGGGAAAAAACGAGTTTTGATTTGCAAAATCTCTTCGGTGGGATACATAATGCAACATTTCCTATTAAATATAATTACTTCTGGGACTTTATGATTACGGAAATGCAAGAATCAAATGATATTCTGGAGTAATTGCAAATAGTGAGCCCGCAATAATCTAGTATCTGACAGAAAGAAGAATGATAAAGAGTTAAGTAAGCAGAGAGCTACAACTGGCAATAACTCTATGAAAATACTATATAACACCTTCAATCCTGCTTCAAATGGACTTCCCTTGATAACAAATGTGGCAAGCTGGGATTTTTTAAATAAAAGATAAAAGTTAATGTCAATCACACTGCTTAAGAGAAGGCTGAAGAAATCACAAACCATTTCAATTCACATTCCCAACTGGCAAAACATTTCACGGAGCGATAAATTTCAAATCCATGGGTTACACAATACTGCAAAGCACTTATTCTCAGTTTGGAGTTTGTAAAGGTAACCAGGACAAAAACACAAACAGCCATAGCATGTACATCAAACCAAACTGATCAATAAGGGCGGAACCACTTGTAATGCAGTTAAAGGCACATACTGATGATCTAGATAACTCACGAACAGATTTGGTCCAGTCGCACCGGGCACAACGTTGTCCTGGTAATCTAGAAATGCATCACTGAATGACAGCACAACTGGCTTTGAACAGGCCTAAGCGACATAAAAGGAGATAACAGCATTCAAGATCAGTCGATGACACTAGAAACAATTAAAATACAATATTACAATTCAATGACTTCTATAGATTTTATATCACTAGAATTCAAAATCATGGAAACGCCAAACCACGTGATAATTGGAGAACATCTACAAGAAAGTTAAAATGCTTGTAAAACCTTTATCTACAAAGTCATATTTCAACCTAATGAAGATAAAACTTGTTACTTTTCTAAACTCCCAATACAGGGATAAAAGGCACAAGCTGTTAGAAATTTGAGAATTTTCCATCAAGCTTCCTCCAATCACTCTCAGATCTGAATTAAGTTCAGTGCGTATGCCAACACAGAATCCAATGCATAATGAGATGAACACCTTTTTTTCACTTATCACAAGAAAAATAAATCAAGCACTAACTTGATCAACTAGTCAAACTAGAAATATTAACCTCAATCACTATGGAACTTAAACAAGATACTTGAGCAAAATATTGGCAAGCATCAGATAGCCATCAAGGGTGGTTTTGAAACAGTAAAGAGACAGAGCACCCTAGATATTTTCCATTTCCCCACATGAACCCCTTTCACTTAATCGTCAGATGAAAGAAGAAGTAGACCTCAAGATGTTTGCACAAATCTCAACATCAATGTAACAGACACAGCCACAACTCAAAGACTGACTATCAAATCAATGACCAACTTGGTAAGACCATTTAGGAGCCATGCTGCATAAAAAGGAGTATGTATTAAGGTGATATCACAAACTTGCAGAGTGGGGAGGAAGTGAATATGCAGATTAAACTGCTCACTGGTCTTTGACATGAGGAGATTCAGCCTCATACTATATTGTACGAAGCCTCAAGTAGAGAGACTTCTTCTTAGAATTGGGACATGGCATGATTCCCAGTCTAATTGTTTGTGCTCACATGTTACAGAAACAAAAGCAACCCCATCAGGTGTAAATCTACTCACCCAAATGTAACTCCAAATGAAATACTTGCAATAGTTGCATATATATTGATTGTCCCCCCTCCCGCTTTTCATTTTCACCATCTTTAATTACCAGATTCTTCATACCTCCTCTTTTTACTTATTATGGCTTTTTTTCAAGATTCAAGAATGGAAGACTGTAAGATATCTTGATTAAAATTTAAATAGAACTGAAACGAAACATACTAGCCTAATCATCCTTCGAAGACAATGAAAAGGCTAGATGAGTAAATGAAAAGTCAAAACAAATTACTTCATAGAAAAGAGGAAATAGACATTCTGATGTCGCATGATACTCATATCCAAGTTCATGAAATATGGACACACCTGTAACAAACTATCATTGTTATACTTATTTGCATTTTCTTTTCCCAGCTTACTCATAGTGATTATAAATGTTATGCTTTCAAAATAATGCCAAACCGATGACATGATATGATCTCTCACCATATGCTTGAAATAATCAGTCATACGAATGACCTCCCAAAAGTGTGTGATGTATCTTGAATAACTCATCAGACATATCTTCTTTTCAGTCTCAGAAAGATAAATCGTCCTCCGCTACTTATGAACCATACTTCATAAACTTGAGGAGAATTTCATAATCATGGTTCAGTTTCTGCATTAAAATATATTCACCACGTTTTCAAAATAACTATCCTCTATCAGATTAATGGCCTCTTAAAAACAAAGCACAAGGCTTTGGAAAAAATTATAGGTGATGGCAATCCATGTTTCAAAAAGTTAAAAGAATTACTCGCCAAATTAATAAATCAATGGCTCAAGACGAGACACTCCAATGTTACAACACAAAGCACCATTACAGAATAAATGAAGAACAACTAACCACCCAAAGTTGAACCTACACTCTGTGTTGTCAGGGAACAGCCAATGTAACCAAAATACCATGCACATACACTTGGCATCAAAGGAACTCTAATAATAGATATTGGGCTTAAGGTAGATGAAACAAGACTGCTGTTGGCAAGACATTAAAGACGAAGGCAAGTTTGACAATAGAAATTAATATCTCAGGACCCAGGGACCTAGAGAAGATTTGATGGTAGATCCTGACTCTAATAGGATACAAGATCTTACAAGCTTTTAGGGATTACATGCCCCTTTGGGTATGAAGTGAAGAAAATTTACTTCTTGTAGTCCCTCTGAATGATAAAGCAGCTAATTAACAACAGCACCTAACAATGTTAACAAGGTAAAAGTATCTTCCATATGTCGAGTTTGGCACTTTGAATCCATTTTATTTTACCAAAATGATAGAAACCAGTTATGACAAATATAAAGTTTGGGACCACAAGTTAGTAAAAATGAGAAAGAGTAAAAAAGCCACAGCTCACAACCCAAGCAACAATTTGTACTAAAATGTGCATCAACAAGAAAATATCCACAAAATAAGAGCATAAGAAAAGTTCAAGTCAACTGTATGGAAATTGTTTGCTGACATCTGTAATTTCCAAGCTCTGGGTCGCGATGACTTGAATAAAGTAACTTCCCTGCTCAGACTCATCACCTCCTTCCAAGCATCCTAAAACGATACTATCTGTACGAAGCCATCTGATAGAATCCACTGATAGGAAAATATCCAGCAAAAGGAGATAATAGAGATATAGATTAGTTTTGCATTCTTCCAACCCTAAATCAGCAAATTTATCTCCTACTATTGCACATAAACATAAACATGTAAGACGCCACTAACTGCAGTAACTGACTAAATTTGTTAAAATGTTTTTCATGCCAGATCAAGTAATGTCATGATAATACAAACCTAAGATCTTAACTAATGAATAGTTAAAAGAGCACATTCAAGAACAATCACCCAATGAAACACAAACTATTAGTTCATCGATATTAAAAGCCAAACCTTAGTATTGAAAAGGTCAATGACTCAAAAATATTGAACTGACAATGAATAAGACTCCAAAGTATAGATCTGATTAGCCTTGCTGATTGTCTAGTATATCTTCTACATTAATCAAGTCAGTTAAGACAGAATAAAGTTATACAAAGTACCTATAATCGATGTGGAAGATAGTGAAAAGCTGAGCTTTTCGGTGAACTGGGATGACATGATACCCAGAACATTCTTTCTTGCCACAGCCACAAAAGCACCGTCCGGGCTCCATTCCACTATGTCAGAAAACAAAGTCTTTATATAGATTGTAAAAGCAATAAATGGAGGGACTACTCCAACTCCAGAATTAAGATAGGTTTAGCAGACAACATAATATTCAATCTATTCATAGGAATAAAAAAGATGCCAAGGACCAAGAAAACAGCATAGTTTCTTCTGCAAATTAGCAGACATACTGAATCTTTGTGAGATCAAGCAATTATAAGTGGAATAGAAGATGAAAGGATACTCTGAAGAACAGAATCATACCAGCATCAACATTGTCCATCACATTCATAGGAGAACCTTGACCAATTCCCTGGTGTAACTTTCCATCACTTGATAGAACAACATAATTCTTTTCCGCTTTTCTAGCCCATTTCATGTCCTTGATGCAACTGAAGTCATCGAGGCAAACTGAAAAAGCTGGTTTTTGTTCCTGTTAAAGTGCATGTGTGATAGAGTGAGGGAGAGTTGAAACACCTCAAAACTCATGCTGTTAATCAGAGGGGAAAAAATGAAGTAACTGCAAGTGATTTAACAGCTTGAAGAGCTCACAGACCATATGATGCAGCCGACAAATAGTAAAAGAAGCAGGAACTCGAGCAGAGGTATTAAGCTTCCCGAAATTTTAGCTATGGCAGGTACTCAGTTAATTTAAGCTTGTTCCGTGCAAATATATGACATAAGGAATAAAGAGACGAAGCAACAAAGGTAGAAGTGGAAATGTGTGGAATATGAGCAAGCTGGATCACACCATGGCAAAAGGTCCTTAAAAATCTATTATAAAAAAATTCAAAAGATATTTTAGTTTGGAAAGGAAAAACGGGGATTGTGACAACCCCTTTTGCCATGTTTCAAAAGCAATTCACTCTTAAAGTGACGTCACTTGGTAAAATGAATTCTGCTGAAAGTGAGCCTAAATTCTCAGCAAACCTAAATTCCACTTAAACGAGAATTGTGAGCCCACTAGGAATAAGGTTCTACAATTTTACCTACTTCACTTATTGCCCTCATAAACAAAGCTCCCATTCCCCCTACACCATTGGAATTACCCCAATTTCCATCTTCCGTCAAGTTCCCCTTGGTAAGAATTCTATTAGAAGCAAAAACTTTAAAGTTCATCTTCATGTGAAAAATCATGACGTAGGTCTAAGACTGTGCTTAGGTACATGATAAGAGCCACACACGGTTCACAAGTAACAAATAAATATATTTTTCATATATAATATCACGCACGAAGTGTGCAATGTGGTAGTATGCTACATCAAAAGCATTAAGACCGAAATAAGAACAATGCCATAATGACTATACAGAATGAATGCTACAGCTTTTACCTTATGAAGTAGAGCGCTAATGGAAAAGAAATGGAGTTGGTTTGCTACAGAAGCAGCGAGCAAGGAATCACCCGAAGACAGTGCCAATATGGAAACTCTTCCAATAGATAGGATCAGGATGCTCAACTCGTCAATCGATTGACTACTCCCGTTGTCTTTGATTTCCTCTGCCAAACCCATGACTTCCTTTGTCCTTGCTACATAAAAACCTAACCGACCACCCATATGAGAGAGAGAGAGAGAGAGAATCGTGATGAGTAAACATACACCAAAAATTAAATAAGTAATTGCCAATACTGGTCGACCAAAAAATAATACTAGTGAAAGAGCAATTGAAAAATAAAAGAAAATTAAAAAAAAATAGACCATTAGAGTGCGCGATGAAGAGTAGGCGAAATCGTTCCGAGACAGCCAAAGGCTTCGACGGAGGATTATGGGAATCGTACAGGGAATCATCTTTTCCAGGAGGTTTAATCGGCACAGATTCTCCAACTTTCACGAAGCGGTAGTTTCTGGAGCCAATAGTGTCTCCTTCGATTACTTGGTCCAACTGAATAGCTGGCGTTCCCGGACCTTCCGAATTCTTCTCCGTCGTCATCTCTAAAGCAGAAGACACTGGAGGTACCCTACCCTATCTCCACAGCTCCGAAGTAAATAAACGAATGATCCTCTCCTCTTGATGATGAGTAGCTGACTGACTATTTTGGGGCTCTTATTTGAGTCTGGGTTGAAGACGGCGAAATTTTTGGGCGGGAATGTTCCCCAGAGAGCAGAGTATCACTTCCCAGATGACAAGCAAAATATGTACTCGCTGTGTTGAGAGAAATGGTGGCTCTGTTTGAATTCCCCGTTTTTTGGGCGGCGACGGTGGCGGGTGGCGGTGAGTGATAGTGTGTGAATTTTTAAAAAATATATTAAAAATTTTAAAAATACACTAAAATATATTTTTAAAATATCATCAAAAATATATACAATAAAAGTTTTTTATATATATTATTACAGTAAAATATTTTTAAAACAGCTAATTCAAACGGAACCGATGTTTGTTTAGTATTTTCAATTTTACTTAGTGTCGGAATTTGTAATGAAACTTTTTAAGAGAGCAAATTGCCTGAAATGTCATTCAACTATTGCGAGGTGTCGATTTTGATCACTAAATCTTTTTATTAGCCAAAAATATCACTGAACTAGTAAATCTGTACCGTTTTGGTTACTCCGTGATTTTATGTCGTTATGAGAGACGGAAAACAACTTTTTGAGGGGCAATTTCATCTGCACAGCTTTTGTGGGAAAAATTTCGTCTGGTAAATGAAGGAATAACATTGCAACTTTTGAGGGTGTTTTCTTCGTTGAGGAGGCTCATTTCGACAAGTTGAAGGGGGAATTAGAAGTAGTGAGAAAATTTTTTCTGGCTACAAGGAAATTGGAGAATTCCTTTAAAAGAATTGTAGATTTTGTTCATGAAATAGGGGGAGGCTTTACTCTTTTTCTGAATTAGATCGGGCAATGTCCAGCTTCGATTCAATTTCAAAGATATTTTGTAAATTCTCTAAAACCTCCAAAACAAATAGAAGTTTTGAGACACCGCAACATGGGCATTTGTATTCCGTCGCTATTATCACCGTTACTGCTGCCGCTACTGATCACCAGAAAGCTCCCAAAACTCAATGCTGTTAGCGGCAGCGCCAACACCAGCAGTATCCCAAACAGTTTCTCCTCCGCCACCAGTAAATGGGCCGAACGACTTTTCGCCGACTTCTAATTTCTTCCTTCCACCATCGTCACTACCGACCATTCCGACGACAATTCCGCCATCGCCACTCTCACTCCTCCATTTATTACTCCTACACTGGCCCCAACCAAGCGCTCCGTAAAAATGCCAATTGATTTTTACAGGATTCTCGGTGATGAGGCTCGTTTCCTCGGCGATGGAATCAAAAGAGCTTACGAAGCTAAGGTTTCTAGACTGCCGCACTATGGGTACAGCTAATAAGCTTTAGTCAGCCGAAGAATGATCCTTCAAGTTGCTTGTCAAATCCTAGCAAATGCTAGCTCTCAAAGAGAGTATAATCAGGGGCTTGCAGATGATGAATTTGGTACTATTATCACTCAAGTACCTTGGGATAAAGTGAACTTTCCCTTCATTTACCAGACGAAATTTTTCACACAAAAGCTGTTAGACAAAATTGCCTTTCAAAAAAGTTATTTTTCGTCTCTCCTAACGGAATAAGATCACTGAGTGATCAAAACGGTACAGATTTACTAATTCAGTGACATTTTTTGCTAATAAAAAAGTTTAGTGACCAAAATCGGTACCTCGCAATAGTTTAATGATATTTCGCATAATTTGCTCAACTTTTTAGGATGGGTTAAACTTTTTCTTTTTATTTATTTCTTTTTCCTTTTCCTTTTCTTTTCTGTTCTCTTCTTTTCTCCCACCCAACTACTTATTTTCATCCTCATTCCCTTCCTACTGCTGGCTGTTGATCTCGGCACCTCCATCGACGACCATTTCTGATAATACTCTTTTTTTCTTTTTTTCTCTATCTTTTCCATGTCCTATTCTCCTTCCTTCCTTTCTCCCCCTACCCTCTCTCTTGTTACCTCTTTCCTTCACTTCCTCCCCCTGTGTGATTTGGTTGCAGAGGTGGTAAGAGCGAGAAGAAGAGAATGAGAGAGAAGAGGGAAAGACAATAAAGAATGAAAGGAAAAAAAAAGGAAGCTGGCATTGGCACCGATAAAGGTACTAACCAGTGATGGTCAGTAGCAGTGGGTAGAGATAGAGAGAGGAAGAAGAAGAAAGGAAAGAACATAAATTTTTTTATGTGTTTTTGAGTATTTTGAAGTGTATATTTTAAATATTTTGAGAACTTTTGAGGTTAGTATAATTAAGGTTGTTAAAAAACTTAGAAAAGAAAATTTTGGCAAAACAACCATTTGCAAACAGACCAATAATCACAATTAGTAACTTAAGGAAAATTTTAGACAACTAGTTAGATTTTAAGGGGAAAAGCGTATCAACTTGTCTGGTAAATTTTGCAACCCTAACCTTGTACTAAATAAAGGTAATGAGGGCGGAATGGAGGGCATGAAAGTGGAAAGACTAAAAAAAAGGGGTTTTGTTCCAATGAAGTATGTGACAAATTTCTTTTTTCTCTCACCCTTCTCTATGAAACTGGTTGGAGAGAATAAATGTGACAATTTATGAGGCCATTTTGGTAAAAGGGTACGAGTCTAACTAAGGAATGGGTTACATTCTTAATCACTATGAATAGGCTTTGTCACTTTTTGTAAGATGTCACGTATGTGAGATAAAAATATAATTAAAAGATGTGTAGAAGAAATGATCTAAATAAGGCCTTATTAGGGAGTGTCTCAAAATTTTTTTTAAGGAATGCTAATATCTTTAAAATTAATCTTATATACACTAACAGTTTATATACTATCACCATTAATTGCATGATACCTAATTTGAATTTGAACTTGAAATTCAAATTTTACAAATATGTTATATATCTAATCGTGATAGTGTATATATTATTAGTATACAAGATTAATTCATATCTCTGACCTTATTTATCTACTAAGGTTGGGGCTTGTTTGATAACTGTACTTAATGCTGAAAATTAATTCATTTACAACTTTATGAATTCAACATGTGATAAGTGTTTATTTTACATCTTTTTAATGTGTTTTATTACTTAGTTTTTAGTGTGTTTTAGTCATTATAGGAACTAAATAACTAGGTTTCAAGTTGAATTTTGCATTTTTATGGTTAAGTATGGAATGTTGCTTTTCAATGGACTAAAGTGTAGAAACTTCATATTTTTATCAGTTTTAATAATTTAATCATCAATTAAATTGAAGTGCGAAGGTACTTGCATGATTGTTGATGATTTCAAGTGGATTTCGTGTGACATGAAAGGATCAAAGAATAAAATGCAATCAAGAAACAAGGCAAAAAAGTATTGGTAGCAATGACACATTTCGAATTTTTGGCTATAACTTGAGTTACACAGTTTGGATTGAAATGATTCTTGAACAGTTTCAAAGCTAATAGAGGCATTAAAGTCTAATTCTCACATTTTCATAGCAAAATATCTAAATTATTGAAATGTTTTTCTACTGCAATGATCTTTTGACCAGTTATCAGTATTTTAACCATAATTTTGCACCTGACTAGTTATCATGTTTTGCACAAAAAGCTGATTCAAACATCTTTCAAAGTAGAATGCAATTTTTTCAAGGAAAAATAGAGCATCGATCCCGCCATGAATAGTAACCAATCCAAGGTTTCATTATGGGCCAGATTGCAATCAAAAAGTACGGCTCAACTTGTGTAATTTGCTCAATTATTTTACTTCTTTTGAGGGAGGAGTTGTAGAACTTATGGCTGAAGATTGGAAACTCTATAATTCTCTTTTGGATCATTTTCTCTCTATATAAATACAATTTGCTTTAAGAATCAAAGAGAGAAGAGGAGAGGGGAAGAATCAAAGAGAGAAGAGAAGAGGGGAAGAAACACCATTAAAAATATAGAACTGAACCAGCTTCCTAGTTCTTTAATTTAGGTTAGTGTAGAACAGTTTAGATTAGTTAGATTTATTATCTCTTATTTATAGCTAAACTTAGATGAAAATTGAGGAGCAAAGAGGGAGAGTTTGAACTCATGTAACAATTGTGATATTGCTACTACCACTTTTTTTCTTGTATTGGATTTCATATTTAGTTATAATATAAGTTTGAATTTTATGTTCATTATATGTTTATAAAGTTTTATGCGTAGAATTATGAATGAACTTTTTATATTTTATTTGTGATGTTTACTCTATTATTTGATATTATTATTTTAAGCAAGGTATCTAGCAGTTTTGCTTTTATAATTATGATTAACTGATCATTAATTGTAATAATCTCAAGGTGTTAAATTTGCAATGAAAATTAAAATTTAACATTTGTTTAAAGAAGTGCTAAATCTAGAGTATACACTCATGAGAGTAAATATGCACATATGTGGCTTTGGTAGCTTGTTGCATATAATTTTATAGAATTTAATAAACTTATAGTTAATTTTATAATCACGATAGTAGATATGGACTAGATATAGGCATGGTGGTATGGTTGGTACAATGGCGAGAACGGGTATTAGATATATTAGGAAATTATGTCATATATTAACTAAGATAATAATATTCAATTAATTCATAATTTTACTTGTAAGAGTAGTTAGGAATTCCATAATCATAAGACCTTTTTTATTGTCATTTTTACTTCATCTTATTTCATGTTTGCAGTTTAGATACACTTGCTTTAGCTTGTGGTTGTCTAAATAATGAAGAAATTAAAAATTCACTAATAATTGACAAATTTTTCTATGGGATCGACACATAATATCTCATATACTCAATAAATGATCTGTGTAGTTGTAAAAAAAATAGGGAATTAGGTTTTTAAAATTTGGTACAAAAGAAAAACCTTGTCAGAATGTTTGATAATAGGAACGTCTTACTACATGATATATTAATCACTGCTTAATTTGTGTATAAACTATTAAGCGAAAATTTTTCATTGAACTATGGCTCTTACATATATAGTACATTATGATACATGCTCTTGCACACAGTACACATTAGTTATCTTTTTGTCCACACCTATACACACATACACATGCAAATATACATTGTCACATATAAATATGCACACCTAATCACCACTTCTAAATTGTTTCATTATTCTCTATCACAAACACCCACACACACACACAAACTTTCAACCTTTTAACATATTTAGTACCCTTGATGATTTTTTCGTTGTAACATTTCATGACAAACGGCATTCTTGGCTGAACTCCCATTAGAGTGTGCAAA